GCCCCATTCTACTCTCTGTCTCCATGAGTTCAATTGTTTTCATTTTGTTAGCTCCCGCAAATAAGTGAGAACATGTGAGGTTTGTCTTTCTGTGCTTGGCTTATTTCACTTAACAGAATGACCTCCAGTTCCACCCATGTTGTTGCAAATGACAGGATCTCAGTCTTTTTTAAGGCTGAATAGTATTTTATTGTGTATGTGTTTATTTTCTTTATCCATTCATCTGTTGATGGACACTTAGGTTGATTCCAAACCTTGGCTATTCAGAATAGTGCTGCAATAAACATAGGAGTGCAGATGTCTCTTCTATATACTGGTTTTCTTTCTTTTGGATATATAATTAGCAGTAGGATTGCTGGAACATATGGCAGTTCTAGTTTTAGTTTTTTGAGGATTCTCCAAACTGTTCTCCATGGTGGTTGTACTAATTTACATTCCCACCAGCAGTGTGTGAGGGTTCCCTTTTCTCTAGCATTTGTTATATAACCTCTCTTTTGGATAAAAGCCCTTTTAACTAGGGTGATGTGATATCTCATTGTAGTTTTGATTTGCATTTCTCTGATGATGAGTGTTGTTGAGTACCTTTTCATATACCTGCTTGCCATTTGTATGCCTGCCTTTGAGAAATGTCTATTCAGATCTTTTGCCCATTTCTTAATCGGATTATTAGATGTTTTTCCTATTGAATTGTTTGAACTCCTTATTCTGGTTATTAATCCCTTATTAGATGAGTAGTTTGTAAATATTTTCTCCCATTCTATGAGTTGTCTCTTCACTTTGTTGATTGTTTATTTATTTATTTTCTTTTGAGACAGAGTCTCGCTCTGCCTCCAGGCTGGAGTGCAATAGCCGCCATCTTGGCTCACTGCAACCTCCACCTCTGCGGCTCAAGGGATTCTTTTGCCTTAGCCTTCCGAGTAGCTGGGACTACAGGCGTGCGCCGCCACGCGCAGCTAATTTTTGTATTTTTAGTAGAGAGGGGGTTTCACCACGTTGGCCAGGATGGTCTCAATCTGTTTTTTTTTTTTTTTTTTTTTTTTGAGACGAAGTCTCGCTCTGTCGCCCAGGCTGGAGTGCAGTGGTGCAATCTCGGCTCACTGCAAGCTCCGCCTCCAGGGTCCACGCCATTCTCCTGCCTCAGCCTCCTGTGCAGCTGGGACTACAGGCGCCCGCCACCACGCCCGGCTAATTTTTTGTATTTTTTAGTGGAGACGGGTTTTCACCGTGGTGCTAGCCAGATTGGTCTCAATCTCCTGATCTTGTGATCCGCCCGCCTCGGCCTCCCAAAGTGCTGGGATTACAGGCGTGAGCCACCGCGCCTGGCACTTTGATTGTTTCTTTCACTATGCAGAAACTTTGTGATGGATTAATTATTTTTAATGCTTGTGATGTCAGTGAAGTTGGGACTGATTATGATGGCTTTTCATGTGGCTTGAGTCCATAGAGAATAGGAAAAAAATTAGGCCGACCAGAGTAATCAGGTTTGTGTGACAGCTTTATCTATCATTGTAAATTAATAAACCTATGTGCTAGTGTCTGGTTCAGTCTTTTGTGCATTTGGAATTTTTAAAGTGAGGCTATAAGGGTTTGTTCACCCTGGATGTAGAAAGCAAAAATCTGGATCTTACACATTCCTGGGATCTGACTAGTGAGGTAGGTAGGCCTGCCCTTATACCACTGTGTCCACTCTCTTATTGATGCTGGTTTCTGTACTTGCTCCTCTGTCATTACTGTACTGGCCCCTGGGCAAAAGCTTGCTAAACCATAGATGTTCTTCGTCAGACTTACAGCTAATCACTGTTGAATGCTGGCTTTGCTCCTTCGGTCTGCTTTAGCTTGAAAAATGACTTGTACTTTGCAGTGTGAGAGAATGGCCTTACTTTGTGCATTCTTCTTTGTAGCATCCATCAGTTCAATCCATTCTGATAGTTTCTATGATGATAACATTAATTGTACTTCTTTTTTTTTTTTTCTTTTGAGATGGAGTTTTGCTCTTGTCGCCCAGACTGGAGTACAATGGCGCGATCTTGGCTCACTGCAACCTACACCTGCTGGGTTCCAGCAATTCTCCTATCTCAGCCTCCTGAGTAGCTGGGATTACAGGCACCCGCCACCACGCCCGGCTAATTTTTCTATTTGTAGTAGAGACGGGGTTTCGCCATGTTGGTCAGGCTGGTCTCGAACTCCTGACCTCAGGTGATCCACCCGACTTGGCCTCCCTAAGTGCTGGGACTATAGGTGTGAGCTGCTGTGCCTGGGTATTGGAAAATGTTTTCTTTTAATGAGAGCATTTATACCATTTATGTTTTACTTAATTATTGATAATTTGGGTTTATATCTCTCATCTTAATACTTTTTGTTTGTTTTGCTGATGTTCTGTTCCTTTTTTTCTTCTTTTTCTCCCTTCATTGGATGACGATGATTATTATTTGTTTTGTTTTGTTTTGTTTTTTGTTTTGAGACAGGGTCTTACTCCATTGCCCAGGCTGGAGTGCAGTAGTGCTATCTGCAACTTCCGCCTCCTGGGTTGAAGTGGTCCTCACACCTCAGCCTTCCAAGTAGCTGGAACTACAGGTGCACACCACCACACCAGGCTTGTTTTTGTAGTTTTTGTAGAGACGTGGTTTCACTGTGTTACCTAGGCTGATCTCGAACTCCTGAGCTCAAGCAATCAGCCAGCCTCGGCTTCCCAAAGTGCTGGGATCACAGGCGTGAGCTCCAGTGCCCAGCCACTATTTCTTTTCTTTTTTTGTTTTTTGAGACAGTCTCCCCCTGTCACTCAGGCTGGAGTGCAGTGGCTCAACCTTGGCTCACTGCAACCTCCACACCCCAGGCTCAAGCAGTCCTCCCGCCTCAGCCTTCTTGGTAGCTGGGATCACAGGCACGCAGCACCATGGCCAGCTCTTTTTTTGTATTTTTAGTAGAGACAGGGTTTTGCCATGTTGCCTAGGCTGGTCTCGAACTCCTAAGCTCAAGCAATCCACCCGCCTTTGCCTCCCAAAGTGCTAGGATTACAGGCATGAACAACCAAGCCTAGAGATGATTATTTTTATCTGATGTTTCTTCTGTATTATTTTGGTAGTTGTGGTGGTATGATATAGATTGGTTTTTGTTCTTGGTTCCTGGTTCTTAGCTCCCATACTTCTTGTTACAGTCTTTTGTTATAGTGTTGGTGTGTCTGGCCTCAGGCAACAGGATCTCTTTCCTGCCCTCCATTCTCCTGCCCCAAGGCAGATCTCTAATCATCTTCACCATTCCGATTGTGGGTCATAAGTCCCTCCTGGAGAGGCTCTCACCCCTCTACACTAGAGGCAGGAATGCTGATGTCTTTGAACTTCTAGATAGCTGAATCTGTGAAGGTTCTTGCATCCATGGAGGGCTTGGAGGCTCCATAGCCCTTCCTCCGTACCTTGCCTTAGCGCATCTCTTCATCTAGATTCTTTGCAATATTTTTTATAATAAACCTGTAAACGTAAGTGTTTTCCTGAGTTCTGTGAGCCACTCCAGGAAATTAATCAAATATAAAGAGGGAGTTGTTGGAACCCCAGCTGTTTGAAGCTGGTCGGTCAGAAGTTCCAGATGCCCAGACTGGTGGCTGGGGATCTGACACTATGTCCAGTCAGATAGTGTCAGAATTGAATTGGTGGACACCCAGGTGGCGTCCACTGCTTGGTGTGTGGGGAAAACCCCCACACATTCGGTCACAGAAGTCATCTTCTGTGTTGATTGTTGTAGTGTGAGAAGTGGTGTAGCAGAGGAAAGACATGGTTTGAAGAGAATTTTAACTTACATAGTAGTTATTCATTTTTTATTTTTCCTTACACAGCAGTTAATTTTGTATTATTTTGAGGTAAGTCTAGAGATTAAAATATGTATCTGCGGTTTACAGAAATCTAGTCTAATAATTATACCTCCTTTTGGACACATGAAAGACCTTAGAACACGCCATTTATCACCTTCCTAACTCATGTGTGACATTTTAACCAATGTTTATTTTAAACCCAAAGAACTGAAATTGTTACTTTATATTGTCTATATTAATTTAACTTTACCCATGTATTTACCCTTTTCTTGCCTTTTATCTCCCCACCCTCTATATCTTTAGGCTTCTATCTGGGATCATTTTCTTTTTCCTTGAAGACTACCTTTATTGGGTTTTTCTTTGCTGACATTGAAGGAAAACATTATTTTTCCTTTTTTTTTTGGAATTTTTTTTTGAGATGGAATTTTGCCCTTGTTGCCCAGGCTGGAGTGCAGTGGCACGATCTCGGCTCACTGCAACCTCTGCCTACTGGGTTCAAGCGTTTCCTGCCTCAGCCTCCTGAGTAGCTGGGATTACTGTCATGCGTCACTACGCCTGGCTAATTTTGTATTTTTAGTAGAGACGAGGTTTCTTCATGTTGGTCAGGCCAGTCTTGAATTCCTGACCTCAGGTGATCCACCTACTTTGGCCTTGCAAAGTGCTGGGATTACAGGTGTGAGCCACTGTGCCTGGGCGTTTTTTTTTTTTTTTTTTGAAATTTTTATTGTAGCTACATACATAACAAAGTCTGCCATTTTAACCGCTTTTTAATTTAACATTTTAAATTGTGGTAAAATGTATGTAACATAAAATTTACCATCTGAACCAGTTTTGAATGTACAGTTTAGTAGTAACTACCCTAGGTATCTCATGTAAGTGGAATATGGTGTTTGTCCTTTTGTGGTGGCTTATTTCTCTTACTGTAATGTCCTCGAGGGTCAATCTTGTTTAGTGTGCTCAGTAAATTTTAGCCATTCTTGTTTTCTGGAGTGGTGGTTTTTGTTGGCTTTTTCACCCAGAGATGCTATGGCATTTGCTGATTGAAGTCCTGAGTGTAAGGCTAACTTGGCCATTCCCTTCTCCCCAAGTGGTATCTGTGTGATATGGTTTCCATTGCAAATTGGTATTTGCTTGCAGAAAAATGGAGCATTGCTTGTATCATCATCTGTTACTCATTTGGTTTTTCTTGTTCTGCTAGGACCCTGGTTAGGAGTAGAATGGGACAATCCCGAGAGAGGAAAGCATGATGGGAGCCACGAAGGGACTGTGTATTTTAAATGCAGGTAACTTTTCATTATGAATCAGCATGGTCATTTAGTCAAGATTATATTTAATACTTGAATAAGGAGGGATGGAGAGGAAGAAACGTTTGGCTCATGGAGTAGTTATATTATGGAATTTGTTGTATTCCGAAAAGGCAGTTATTTTATTTGTGGCTTAATTGCTGCTGTTTGTAGAATTTTTTCCTTTTTAAAAAAAATTCTGACTCTTGACCTTGTGGGTGGCATTGCTTTCTACGTCCTTTTTTTTTTGTGACACTCCTTTAAATTGGATGAATGTAAACCTTTCTGGCTCATTACCAATTTATAATTCAGTAAGTAAATAATAGAAAAGAGAAATAGCCTAGATATCTAGTAAGAAGGAATTGATTACCCAAAATATAGAACATCTAAATAGTGAAATGCTGAGTCACCATTAAAAATATTTCTTATCATAGGAAGAGTTACACGTCACATTGCACTTCTTTTTCTTTTCCTTTTTTTTTTTTTTTTGAGAGGGAGTCTCACTCTGTCACCCAGGCTGGAGTGCAGTGGTGCAATCTCGGCTCACTGCAAGCTCCGCCTCCCGGATTCATGCCATTCTCCTGCCTCAGCCTCCCGAGTAGCTGGGACTACAGACGCCCACCACCATGCCTGGCTAATTTTTTGTGTTTTTAGTAGAGACGGGGTTTCACCATGTTAGCCAGGATGGTCTTGATCTCCTGACCTCATGATCTGCCCACCTTGGCCTCCCAAAATGCTGGGATTACAGGCGTGAGCCACTACGCCCAGCCTCTTTTTTTTGTTTTTGTTTTTGAGATGGAGTCTTGCTCTGTCCCCCAGCTGGAATGCAGTGGCACAATCTCGGCTCACTGCAACCTCTGCCTCCCAGGTACAAGTGATTCTCCTGCCTTAGCCTCCCGAGTAGTTGAAATTACAGGTGCCCACCACAATGCCCGGCTAATTTCTGTACTTTTAGTAGAGACGAGGTTTCACCATATTGGCCAGGCTGGTCTTGAACTCCTGACCTTGTGATCCACCTGCTTTGGCCTCCCAAAGTGCCGGGATTACACGCCTAGTCCATCACATTGCATTTCTATTAATATTTTTGATTACCTGATGTCAGAAGAACTGCATGAAGCTCTGAAAAGGGTGCTGAGAGCCTTCAGGCAGAGCCTATCTTCTGAATTTTTGTTGTTGTTGTTTATGTTTATTAGTTTTCAATTTCTCAAAAGGATCTTTCCCTAGTAAGCTGTTTTTCCTTAAGTGTGGTACAGTGAACACAATACTGCCCTAGAAATCAGGAGGCCTCTAGTCTATTTTTAACAATCTTTATTGTTTGTTTGTTTGGTTTATTTATTTTTTGAGACATTGTCTTGCCCAGACTGGAATGCAGTGGCATGATCATGGCTCACTGTCACCCTGAACTCCTGGGTTCAAGTGATCTTTCTGCCTCAGCCTCCTGAGTAGCTGGTGCTACAGGCACGCACCAGCACACCCAACTAATTAAAAAAACAAAACAAAACAAAAAATTATCGAGATGAAGTTTTTCTGTGTTGCCCAGGCTGGTCTCAAACTCCTGGCCTCAAGCGATCCTCCCACCTCCACTTCTCAAAGATTACAGGCGCGAGCCACTGCACCAGCCCACTTTTAACAGTCTTTATGGTCCTGAACAAGACAAGTTTGCTAACCTTTAAAATGAAAGTCAGAATTAAATAACCACACAGCGTATCTCCTGGTCCACTATTCCATAATTTTAGAAAGTCAGGATGTTCTTAAAAGGCCAACTCTGCTTGTAGACTTGCCATCTCTGAATTTGTTCAGAGCTGTTCAGGTTATGTGTTTCGGGAGAAATATTTTAGCCAGGCCCACAGATTCCTTAGGTACCTGGACCATGACCTTACAAACCCTCCTGTGAAAGGACCCTTTTTTTTTTTTTTTTTTGAGATATAGTCTCGCTCTGTCGCCAAGGCTGGAGTGCAGTGGCATAATCTTGGCTCACTGCAACCTCCACCTCTCTGGTTGAAGCAATTCCCCTGCCTCAGCCTCCTGAGTAGCTGGGATTTGCTACCACGTCTGGCTAATTTTTTTGTGTTTTTAGTAGAAACGGGAATTTCGCCAGGTTGGCCAGACTGTTCTCGAACTCCTGACCTCAGGCAATCCACTGGCCTCGGCCTCCCAAAGTGCTGGGATTACAGGTGTGAGCCACCACCCCCTGCAAAAGGACTTTTTATTTGGAACTTACCCCAGCCTACTTTACTTCCTTCTTCTAAAAGCTTGCCCAAATTGTTCATAATTTTATTGTCTTTAATGGTCTCCGAATACAGTGATATTTTCAAAGTCTTGGTTACCCTGAGCAGAAAATCCAGAATTGCTTCAAGTCCTGGGTGGTGCAGGATTTGTCCTGAAATGCTGATGGGGGGGCCTTGGTTCAGGGACATTGACTCAGTATAGTCATGCGTTGCTTAATGAAGGGGATGCGTTCTGAGAAATGCCTGTTAGGTGGTTTCGTCATTGTGTGAACATCATAGTGTATTTACACAAACCTAGATGGTGTAGCCTACTACACACCTAGGCTACTGTATGGCGTAGCCTATTGCTTTTAGGCTATAACCTGTACAGCATGTTACTGTGCTGAATACTGTAGGCAATTGTAACATAATGGTAAGTATTTATCTAAACGTAGAAAAGGTACAGTAAAAATACAACATTGGCCAGGTGCGTTGGCTCACGTCTGTAATCCCAGCGCTTTGGGAGGCAAGGCGGGTGGATCACAAGGTCAGGAGTTCAAGACCAGCCTGACCAATATGATGAAACCCCGTCTCTACTGAAAATATAAAAATTAACAAGGCGTGGTGGCGGGTGCCTGTGGTCCCAGCTACTCGGGTGGCTGAGGCAGGAGGATTGCTTGAAGCTGGGAGGTGGAGGTTGCAGTGAGCCGAAATTGCGCCACTGCACTCCAGCCTGGGCGATAGAGCGAGACTTCGTCTCAAAAAAAAAAAAAAAATTAGACAGTGTGGGGTGTCATGGGTGGTTTGTGCCTGTTAGTCCCAGCTACTCGGGCGGCTGAGGCAGGAGAATCGCTTGAACCCGGGAGGCAGAGGTTGCAGTGAGCCGAGATCGCGCCCCTGCACTCCAGCCTGGGCGACAGAGCGAGACTCCATCTCAAAAAAAATAATAATAATAATAAAAAAATTAAGCATTGTGGAGTGGCATGGGTGGTATGTGCCTGTTAGTACCAGCTACTTGGGAGGCTGAGTCGTTAGAATTTCTTAAGCCCAGGAGTTTCAAGACCAGCCTAGACAACACAATGAGATCTCATCATTAAAAAAGAAAAAAAAAAAAAAGATAGAAAATGGTACGCCTACACAAGGCACTTAGCGTGAACGGACCTTGTAGGACCGGAAGTTGCTCTGGGTGGGTGAGTGAATGTGAAGGCTGGGACATTCTTGTACCCTACTTTAGTTTACTTGTAGACTTTAGAAACACTGTAGCTTTAAGCTAAACTAAACTTAGAAGTCTTTTCTTTCTTTAGTAATAAATTAACCTTAGCTTCCTGTAACTTTTTTATTTTATAAACTTCAAATTTCTTTTTTTTTTTTTGAGGCGGGGATGGATTCTTGCTCTGTCATCCAGGCTGGAGTGCAGTGGCATGATCTCGGCTCACTGCACTGCCCGAGTTCCAACGATTCTCTTGCCTCAGCCTCCCGAGTAGCTGGGATTACAGGCATGCGCCACCACACCTGCCTAATTTTTGTGTTTTTAGTAGAGATGGGATTTCACCATGTTGGCCAGGTTGGTTTCGAACTCCTGACCTCGTGATTCACCTTCCTTAGCCTCCCAAAGTGCTGGGATTATAGGCGTGAGCCACCATGCCTGACACTTTTAAATTTTATTTATTTATTTATTTATTTATTGTTTTTTAAACCTCTGCAATTATTAGTTTATTAGTATCATCCAGGACTCAGATGTTCAGTATGCCTCCTGAAATTACATAAACAAATGCAAATGGAAAGAATCCAAGTCAAAATTATATAACAAAACAGCACTCCATCACAAAAGCGTGTAAAATTACAAGAACGCTATTTTAAAATACTTGCACTTTAAGAAAACGATAATCTCGTAAACCACAAAATTGCCAAATTGTTCCCTAAACTGCTAAGCAGATAATGACTAATGAGTTTGTTTTGTAAAGAAAAATCATTCAAATAAATTGAATAATTCATACTGAGATGCAAAGTTTAACTGTCTTCTTTCCTCCTATCTACTTGGATTTATAAAGGGGCAAACCGTAATTTAGGAAAATATACCCTATTTTGAATGTGGCATCTTCATTTTAAAAGCTGGCCCAGTTAATTAAAAATACTTGTAATGGAAAGTCTCGTTTCCTGAGCAGTCCATATTGAGATAAATGGGAAAAGACATCTATAGCCAGCATTTTCATAGTCTTCAGAGACTAATGTCAACAAAAAATTTAATATGGCAGTCTTGTATTTTAAGCTCACGCTTTTGGGGATACATTCTCAGGTCTTCTTTAATGTGGGAACTGCAAAATATAACTGCCATTACATGCTAATGGAAGTTAAAGAATAGAGTCCTCATGTAAAGGTTAGAACATACTTTTCTATTAGTCCTTCAAGGACAGACTTTCAAAATGTTTGATTCTAATAATCCCATGCTTTGAGTAGACTGATTACTCTCCAGTTTGTAAATGTAAGTGGGCTATGTGAAATTTCTTAACTGATCAAGATTTTCGATGTTCAGTTATGTATGAAAACTATCTCAACTTAACTTTACCCCCATTATGGTATGCAGGGTGTGTAGACAAAAGCTTTTTATTAGCTAACTATATGAAAGGATAAACACTGTAATAATTCATGTGATTCAAAATGGGCAAAAGCAAAAGACTAGCTTCCCCTCAAGAAGAAAAATTTCAGACCTATGAAAAGGACAACAATACTAATAAAAAAAAATTGTATTTACTTAGAAGCATTCAGAATGTCAACAAAACAGCTGCAACTTTTTTTTTTTTTTTGCAATTACAGAGTGGTATTCAGTTAACAGGACAACAGTTATTTCGTATAAGCTGCATCAGAGACAACTGAAGATGAAAAAACTACCATCCCCATATATAACTAATTTGTGCTGTGCACCAACAAGAACTTGCTTTACAATTACAATTTACAACCCCCATACTGTACCAGGCAAGGCTAGTGGCTACTGAAAATACCACCAGGACAGGGCTATCTAAAGACACATTCGGTAGTGTGTTAACTATACAAAAAAAGACACCGTGTAGTTTAAAAACAAATCTTACGCAGCCTTACATTTCAGTTTTTTTCTTTAAAAGGAGTGAGTTGTGTACAGGGGAGTTAAATGCTTTATAGACAAGAAGAAAAACTGCACTAGAACGAACTTATCGTCTTCATCTTCATCTTCTTCATCTTCCTCCTCCTCCTCCTCATCCTCTTCATCTTCCTCATATTCCTCCTCTTCCTTCTTTTTCTTGCTTTTTCCAGCCTTGACAACTCCCTTTTTTGCTGCATCAGGCTTTCCTTTAGCTCAATATGCAGCAATATCCTTTTCGTAGTTTTCCTTCAGCTCTGCAGCTTTCTTTTCATAAGGCTGCTTGTCATCTGCAGCAGTGTTATTCCACATCTCTCCCAGTTTCTTAGCAACATCACCAATGGACAGGCCAGGATGTTCCTTGATTTTTGGGCCATACTCAGAGCAGAACAGGAAGAAGGCCGAAGGAGGCCTTTTGGGTGCATTGGGATCCTTGAACTTCTTTTTTGTCTCCCCTTTGGGAGGGATGTAGGTTTTCATTTCTCTTTCATAACGGGCCTTGTCCGCCTTTGCCATATCTTCAAATTTTCCTTTATCTTTAGTAGACATGGTCTTCCACCTCTCTGAGCACTTCTTAGAAAACTCTGAGAAGTTGACTGAAGCATCTGGGTGCTTCTTCTTATGCTGCTCCCGACAAGTTTGCACAAAAAATGCATATGATGACATTTTGCCTCTCGGCTTCTTAGGATCTCCTTTGCCCATGTTTAGTTATTTTTCCTCAGCGAGGCACAGAGTTGCCCAGTGCCTGTCCGGCTCTCACTTGCCCCGGCGCTGTTTCTATCGCCTGGCACTTTTTAAAAATTTAATTTAAATTTTTTTTTTTGAGACGAAGTCTCACTCTGTCACCCAGGCTGGGGTGCAGTGGCACGATCTCGGCTCACTGCAACCTCTGCCTCCCAGGTTCAAGCGATTCTCCGGCCTCAGTCTCCCGAGTAGCTGGGACTACAGGCGCATGTCACCACGCCCGGCTACTTTTTGTATTTTTAGTAGAGGCGAGGTTTCACCATGTTGACCATTCTGATCTCAAACTCCTGATCTCAGGTGATCCGCCCACCTCGGCTTCCCAAAGTGCTGGGATTATAGGCATGAGCCACTGCACTGGACCTGAACCTTCTTCCAGAATACCTCCTGAAGGACCTGCCTGAGGGTAGTAGTTTACAATTAACTTTTTTTTTTTTTTTTTCAGATAAGTAGGAGTTTACTGGGTGCAGCAACTCATGCCTGTAATCCCAACACTTTGGGAGGCTGAGGCAGGAGGATCACCTGAGGTCAAGAGTTTGAGACTAGCCTGGCCAACATGGTGAAACCCGTCTCTACTAAAAACAGAAAAAATTGGCTGGGCGTGGTGGCACGCACCTATAATCCCAGCTACTGGGAAGGTTGAGGCATGAGAATCACTTGAACCTGGGAGTTGGAGGTTGCAGTGAGCTGAGGAGCTGAGATCGCACCATTGCACTCCAGCTTCGTCGGCAGAGTGAAACTGTGTCTCAAAAAAAAAAAATAATAAGAAAAAATAAGAGTACATTCTAAAATAATGATAAAAAGTATAGTATATTGAACACTTAAACTAGTAACATAGCCATGTATTATCATTATCAAATATTATGTACTGTCCATAATAGTATGTGCTATACTTTTATATGACTGGCAGCGCAGTAGGCTTATTTACATTAGCATCACCACAAACAAGAGTAATATGTTGTACTACAGCATTAAGACAGCCACAGCTTCACTAGGAGAGAGGAATTTTTCAGCTCCAGTGTGATTATGGGACCACTGTAGTATATGCGGTCTGCTGTTGACCTACACGCCATTATGTGGTGCGGGACTGTATTCGGATTCTTAGCCTTGGAATAACTGCTTACTTCATTATGTCTTCTAGTGTTGTCATGGCAAAACATTTACATAATTGAAATACATATTATCTTATTATAAATAACTTTTTAAAATTTAAATAGGCACTTTGTTGACATTAAAAAATTATATAGGTAGGTAATGTTGTCTGTGAATTCCGTTTCAGGGTATTTTTGGGGCAGTACAGAAGAGATCATTGCATCTGAAGTGGTGGAGAACCACTGGTCTAGACTACCGGAATTTAACTGGTCCTTTAGAGTTTGATGATTTCATGTCGGTTTTTAGTTTCTCTGATCTCTTTTGTAACCTAAGGTAAATATAGTAATCTCCTCAGCTATTATTACTCATAATTAATATCTGTAATGTTAGCAATTAATAGTGGTTTACAGTGTCAAAATAACAATAAAATGTGTAGATGAATGTCTAAATGTAACATTTTATTTGGGAAGCAAGAATTGCAGTTCAGGGCATACACATAGACTAGTCTTTGGTATATCCAAAGAACAAAGAGAACAGTGGACATTTTTCTTTTTTTTGAGAAAGAGTCTCACTCAGTCGCCCAGGCTGGAGTGCAGGTGCAGTTGCACAATCTTGGCTCACTGCAACCTCTGCCTCCCGGGTTCAAGCGATTCTCCTGCCTCAGCCTCCTGAGTAGCTGGGACTACACCACGCCTGGCTAATTTTTGTATTTTTAGTAGAGATGGGGTTTCACCATATTGGCTAGACTGGTCTCGAACTCCTGACCTTGTGATCCGCCCACCTCAGCCTCCCAAAGTGTTGGGATTACAGGCGTGAGCCATCGCTCCTGGCCTTTGTTTTTTTTTTTTTTTTTTTTTTGAGATGGAGTTTCATTCTTGTTGCCCAGGCTGGAGTGCAATGGTGTGATCTCAGCTCACTGCAACCTCCCCCTCCCAGGTTCAAGCGATTCTCCTGCCTCAGCCTTTGGAGTAGCTGGGATTTTAGGCATGCGCCCCCACGCCCAGCTAATTTTGTATTTTTAGACAGGATTTCTCCATGTTGGTCAGGCTGGTCTCAAACTCCCGACCTCAGGTGATCTGCCCGCCTTGGCCTCCCAAAGTGCTGGGATTACAGGCGTGAGCTGCTGCACCTGGCCCTTTTTTTTTCTTTTGACACAAGATCTTGCTCTGTCACCCAGGTAATAGTACAGTGGCACAATCATGGCTTGTTGCAGCCTCAACCTCCTACGCCCAAGCAGTTCTCCCACTTCATTTTTTTCTTTTTTTGTAGAGATGGAGACTCCCTATTTTGCCCAGGCTGATCTTGAACTCCTGGGCTCAAGTGATCCTCCTGCCTCAGCCTCCTAAAGTGCTGGGATTACAGGTGTGACCCACCGTGCCCTGTCTAGTACCTTTTATAAAAAGGAGAAATGTTACATATTATTCTGAAAGAAAGTTCACTGGCACTAGTAAAGTTTTGGAGAGCTGGCTAGCAAGCTCTGATCGGTGAGTGACGGTGGTGGGTAAGATTAGTCTTAGAGTCAGAGCAGATTGTTTTAGTAGCTATTAAATAAAACTGGCTTCAGGTTACAACAGGCAGTTTCAGCAACTAGGCTTGTAATAAACTGAATTCTTGGAGCAGGTGCTGTGTGCCCCGAGTACTTTTCCCCTTGGCCCCTTGACTTTGATTTAGTTGGATATGACAAGAATGACTCAGTTTCTGTAATCAACTTTCACAAGATTTATCCAAGATTTATGGCCATGCACCAGTCACCTGTGTCCTTCCTGGGTACTTCTGCTCTCTACTTCTTGTCTTTTGGGGGAGTTGAGGGGTCGAAATATGATAAGTAACCTTGAAATCCTCTTTACCTTGTCACCTTGTCCCTAGACAGCAGAGTGATTTTCAGTTTTTTTTCCTTTCAACCTGAACTGAAGAGAATGCTTTGAGCAGAACTTTGTGTGTCAGTATTCTGCCCACTCACCTTTTATTTCAGTGCTTCTGTTTCCAAGCAATGATAGGAGTTCTCTTTTCTGGTGAGAAATAAATCTTAAAATATGACTTTTCTTCAGCACTAGGGAGCAGAATCTAGCTTTAATACTTAGAATCAGAGAGGATATGTCTGTGATAATGGACATCTTAGGAAACGGATGGTTGACAATTTAAGAAATAAAGCCCTAGAAATAAAGGATAAGTGTTGGAAAGAAAGGATAAATATTTGAGGTGACGAATACCCCATTCACCCTGATGTGATTGTTACACGTGGTGTGCCTGTATCAAAATATTGTGTGTACCCACAAAAATGAAAACTTAAACTAAAAAAAGAAAGCCCTTGATTTATTCATCTTTTGTGTGTCATAAGCCTGTTGTAAAGCATTTTGAGGATCTTGGCTGAGCAATAATGGATTGGTATAAAATATTCCCTTGGTATGATGTAATGTGTTAGAAGTTTTTTTTTTTTTTAATCAGGAAATGTAATGATAGTATGTGGGCAGGGCGCATCTCTGTTCAAAAAGGTGGTCTCTCTGCTTCATTTTTGGAAGGCTTTCTTGAATCAGAGCAAAATCATAATCGTGTCAACGCAAAAGCAGTCGAGGTGAATATTAAATTCAGCTGATGAGAGAAGCAAACAAAAAGAGCAGTCTACAGCAAGGTGCTTATCTACTGCACTGTTTTATTCACGGGAAAACAAACTCACTGGGTCAACTCTTTAGATGTTACAGCACTAAACACTGCAGGAAAGCTGAGTTCTCCTCTCATGATGAACAGCTAGTTATGCAACCTTGCTGAACACTAAACATTCCTGAAACAAACAGGGTATCAAGATCAACAACATTTATTAGAAACTCCCCAGAGACCTGGCCTTTTCCAGTAGCTTGTATCCAAAGCTCCAGCAAGAAAGAAGCTTACTATGGAAGTCTGGGAGTCTGTTGGGGACCCCTTTACCTTTGTGTAGTGTTGCCAGATTCAGCAAACAAAAATACCAAATGCATAGTGAACTTTGGATTTCAGATAAACAGCAGTTCTTTTTTTTTTTTTTTTTTGGTGTGAGACATGCATGGGGGCATACTTACTTAAAAATGATTTGCTGTTTATTTGAAATACAAGCTTAACTGAGCATCTTCGATTTTATCTGGCAATCCTGATGGAGACATAGGACAGAGTGAATCTTGATAACTGGGTTTTATGAGCACATCCTGTTTCCACAAGGGCCATGGGTCAGGATGATGATTTTGCCAGCAGCATGTGTAATTGGTGGGCAGAATGAGGAAGGAATCTGAACAGGCCAAATGCTTCCAAGAGAAACGTTTTTGGACACCCCTCCCTGTGTTCTTCTCCTCACCAACATTTTTCTCTTTAGACATGGTTTAGAATTTCAATGTTTGGATACAGTTTCTTAATATGTTAATATAGAATCTCAGTGGAGTCCATGTAAATTATTATAGTTTACCTCCTGGAGATTTGTTGTTATTGATGGGCACCTATTCAGCTAGGATTTTTCATTATTTGTTGAGGCTGTTTTGTTTTCTGAGAAACCTGCTGGAAATGTCCCAGAAAATATTGATCTGTAGTGTTAGTCTTTGATCTGTAAAGGGCATAGCATCTGTTTTGCAACTACCTAACACCATTCCTAACTCTTTTATCATCTGCCTGCAACTCAACTCGACAGTAATAAAGATCTCTTTATGACTTCTTGTTTTTTACCATGGTTTTAAAACTTGTTTATTACCACTGTTTTAAAAAGTGTAGATTTAGGGCCTGGCACCGTGGCTCAAGCCTGTAATCCCAGCACTTTGGGAAGCCGAAGTGGGTGGAGCACTTGAGGTCAGGAGTTCGAGACCAGCCTGTCCAACATGACGAAACCCCATCTCTACTAAAAATGCAAAAATTAGCCAGGTGTGGTGGTGGGCGCCTGTAATCCCAGCTACTTGGGAGGCTGAGGCACAAGAATTGCTTGAATCCAGGA